CGGACTAGAAGGGTTAGTAAAGCCCACATGTGGAGGCAGTGGAAAATGAGTAAGCAGCTAAGGACTGGAACTCTGCGAAAAAGAGAGTTATACAGATGGAGTAGAAGAATGCAGAGTAGCGATGGAAGGTGGATCAGTGTCCATCAATGGTTTAGTCTCCAATATATTCAGAGATATTTTCAAGTGTTTCAGAGGACAAGAATGTTGTATGTGGGAAGACAGTGGAGGTAGAAGGGGAAGGGTAAGTAAAGATCAGGGTGGGAATGGAAGTTACTAGAGTGGGGGGGAACGAAAAGTTAGAGTTAACCTGGGAAGAAGCTTGGGAGGCGACAGGAGAGGAAGAAACCCGGGTGGGGACAGAAGAGGAAGAAACTTGGGAGGGAGCAGGAGAGGAAGGGACTGTACGAGGGGGAGGATGACCCTCCACACTCCTAACAGACAATAAGAAGTAAAGAACTAGGTACAGAGACTTGAATGGAAAGAGATTTACTCTTTGGGGATTTTTTTGAACTTTGAAGAAGTAGAGGGGCGAGGGGAAGGACCTGTTGTGCGAGGTCTTGTAGACATAGAAACTTGCAAGTGAGAAGATGAGGATTTGAGAACAGCATGAGGTGATGAGGTAGGGACCTCAGAGTCCAGGACTGCAAAAAGAGTTAGATACAGAGGTGACTGTGGAAGGTGTGCCCACACAGTAGACTGCAGGAGTTGGGACTCCAGAGGTTGAGGGTCTCTTATTAACTCAAGAATAAGAAATACGGGGAAGTCTCCCCTGGAGCCACAGATGAGAGACTGCCATGACGTGAAGCTTGTCTCTTTGGGACAATGAATTTCTCGTTCATTTAAGCAAACCTGGCAATGACGAGAATAAGATGGGTGAGCTTCATTACAATTAAGGCAAGAGAGAGGTAGACTACAATATGTACTGGTATGGTCATCAGCACCACAGACTGGGCACTCAGCCATGGACCTGCAATATTCCACTGGATGGCCAAAACGCCAGCAATTTCTACACTGTTGTGGCGTAGAGAAAACCTTTCAGACTCGTAAACAGTGTCTTGCAATATAAACGGAGGATGGAAGCTCACAGCAGTCAAAAGTTAAGCGAGCTACACTGTAGGGGAAGTGTGTCCGCCGGTAGGCAGGTAATACACGTGTGTCCACTTTGAGAACTGGCAGGTCTTGGAGCTCAAGTTGCTCCAGAATGTCATCACCATATGTATGGAAATTATGTTGAACAGTGGTATGAGGTAGAATGACAGTGCCGCTGCAAGAATTGAGAGAATGGTGTTTTTCAATTGTTACAGGAATAGCATCTATGGTGGTAAGGAGAGAAAGATCATGACCTTGACTTGCATTTTGTACCATGACAATGCTTGCACTGCACTGGAGCATGAAATGGAATGTGGTACAAGAATGGTATACAATACCGACAAGATGAAATTAAGACGTGTGGAACATCTGGGTATCTTTACTGTAGATGTTTTGCCATCCAGTGGCTTTATCAACACAAATTCCATTTCATTGTGAAATGGAATATTTCAACCAACAAGGCATAGGAGCGGCTGGTAGATAAGACACATAGGCAACATTTAGGCAACTTTATTCCGAAATGTTTCGCCTACACAGTAGGCTTCTTCAGTCGAGTACAGAAAGTAGGCAGGAGCAGTAGAGATGTGAAGACGATGTAATCAGTCCATCACCCTTGAAGTCGTAGATTTGAGGTTGTCAGTCCCTCAGCCTGGAGAAGTTCTGTTCCAAAGTCTGGAACTAACTGAAGATCAAGCGACAGTGTTGAGACTTAAATACTGTCGGAAGGAGAGGTGCAGAGTAGTAGTAGTGAGAATGTAGCCACTGGGAGGTCATGTCCCTCTCAGATCAAACAATTCTCACTTGAAAAAATTGTCCAAGGTGTTTTCTCTTCTGTACCAAGATGCCATTGTGTTGCAGTGTCTGACAGAGTGATTATCAAATTGTATACAATACCGACAGGTTGGTAGATAAGACACATAGGCAACATTTAGGCAACTTTATTCCGAAACGTTTCGCCTACACAGTAGGCTTCTTCAGTCGAGTACAGAAAGTAGGCAGGAGCAGTAGAGATGTGAAGACGATGTAATCAGTCCATCACCCTCAAGTCATAGGAGCGCCTTGCCAATACTATGATCAGAAAGATAGTCAGATGATGATGTCGGCTGCAGAGTGAAAAATTTAATCCATTGTGTACTATAAGTAGTATGTAAAGGGATCGATTGTTGTGTTGGTCTTTTCTGAACAGAGTGAGAGGCATTCGAAGCAATGTTATCAGAGGAAGGTCGTGGTCATTTAGATGCAGGACCAGAGGTGGTCCACTTTGAGGTGGGCAGGCAATCTGAAAACTGTTGCACTGAATGGGGAGAAGCCAGCAGCACAGTCAAAGACATGCAGAGGTCGGATGTATCCGAGTCAGGCCAAGCCTTGGTATCAGGAGCGTGCGACAGTGTGTCACTGCAGAAGATACAGGGGCATTAGAAAGGTCCAAAGGATGGCAGGAGTAGTTTCATGGATCTGGAACTCTATGGCTAAGTTTATTTCCTTTTTAAGAAAAAAAAAAGGGGGGGGGACATACAGAGGTAGCTCCCAGGGATAAAGGTCCCTAAGTTTCCCCCTTCCATGCCCAAGAGGACCTCAGCACAGCCAGTAGTTAAGATGCAGCATGGAACCCATGCCATACTCTATTCTTCATACCAGTAAACAGCAATCCCGGATGACAACCTCACATCTACTGAGCCACTTCAGTGGACAAAAGAGAGGGCGGTCGGTGACCCACCACAAAGCATACATCCTTCAGCC